TAAAGCCTTTGTAGATATTTCTATCCAGAGAAGATCATCAAGGATGCATTAGCTGAGTCCTTGAGATGCAATGGAGTAGGTGATGCTATTTTCTTCTGTCTAAGAGAAATGGCAGAGCCTCTTTGCAACAAATGATCATAAATTGCCTGAGTGTCTCGGAGGCAATGAGGGAACTTGCATCCTTGTGCTAATGCAAGCTGCTCTCCAAATTTTGAGTGGTACACACTATACTGGGAAGAAAAGGGCCTGAGGATAAAGCTACCAAGACATATCTATATCTCCCAAGTAAATGTGATCAAAAGGGAAAGCCTTTCAGCCCTTAAGCTACTTTAAAAGCAGATTTCAAAGCTCACTAATCAAATCCAGAGGGGCACAAAGTCAGAAATCAGAAGCAAGCAAACTTTGGACATTGGAGAATGAGAAAACAAATAAGCTTCTCAGTGCAGTTAAGTGGGCTGTCAACCTTTCCTATGTCAGATTATTAGTATTGTTGTTGTCATTGTTGTTTATTAAATTCTATACAGAGCTGTGTGGTTCTTGTTACTGAAGAGTGCCATACAAAAGCCTGCATATATTCTAAGTTTAATCCTAGAGCACTGGCTCAGGCAATTATGTCCCATTTTAAAATGTTTTTGGCTGTATAATCTAGGTCATCTTTTAGCTTTCACCTGCAACAGTATCTGGTTCTTTGCATATAATTTTATGTATATACATACATATACACATACATATACATCATATACATAAACATATACAGATACACACACACACACACACACACACACACACACACACACATATATGGTAGGTAACTTATACCTGTCCTTATAAAAAATTTCTTAGATGCAGGGAATATCATGTTTTTCTAGATTTACAGTTATAAGAGTTCATTCTGTGTAATGTAAACATGATAATCTTAATCTATTTTTGTTTCTACGGATCTTCCAGTGACAATGGGGCTAATATTAATGGCAGTATGTATCATTTGGGAACTATTTCCTAGGTGGAAGATATTTTCTTAATAGTTATTTTAATGAAGGATCCTGAGAAAATTCTGTACCTAAGTATGATTGACAGATTAGAGTTTCAACCATAGAGGAGTTTGAAATGTTGCCAGTTGAGAGACAAATTATCTTGGGTCACCTTTAGTCTTCTTATCTGTCTTTTATTACCAACTTCTTGTTGACCTAACATCATTGTTACTATGAAGAAAATCTTTTGTAATGTGTGAATACATCCCCTAAATTAGTCTGAATACAGGAGAGCTAAGAAGGGAACCAGGTGGCAGTTGAAGCCTACAGCACAGATTCTTCTGCTTCACTAATGTATTTGACAGTGTCTTGATTTATGACCTATGTGACCATGATTATGGTGGTCCAAACATAATGTCAGATATCATCTTTGATTGCTCTTTTACTCTATTCCTTAAGGAAAGGTCTCTCAATCAGATGCAGAGCTAGCAGATGAGGGTAGTCTTACTTGCCATCTTGTTCTGAGTAGCTCCAATCTTTACCTCCTCTGGCTAGAATTACATACAATAGAGTCATTAATTTTATCTGGCATACACATGAGTTTCTGAACTCTGAATCTCATACGTATGTAGCAAGTGGCTTAACTACTGAGAAATCTCTCCAGACCCAGATTTTGTGGTATTAATTCAAATTCTAACTAGAGGTTAGGTCTAAAATGGCTTGTGACCACAGATGGACAAAATATTTGCAGAGCAACTAAGAAAGAAATATCATTCTTCAGTTTTGTTCAGGAAACTACTAGAATATAAATATACATTGCCATTTCCATTTAGATCATATGGAGTTATGTGAAAATGTAAAATTTGGAAATGAAATATTGGACGTTGTGCAAATATAAAATCAAACAAAACTCCTGGACCATGTACCTCATGGTTTCTTGAAGTTATGGATGTTCTTTAGCCTATTTTTCTCCAAAACTCTTTTGTTGTTGCTGTTGTTTTTGTTTTGTTTAGTTTTTTGTTTTTGTTGTTGTATGCATGTTTTAAGCTACTGAAAATCTAAGAAATGACATTGGATCACTAGGGCTGGATATTTGCAGCGTCTCTTTTCAGGCTTTTGGAATTCTGCTTTGAGAGCATAATGGGAAAGTTTTTCAAGACAGCTGGAGGATGATACATAAGAAAGAAATCAGTGATGCTTAAGACAACAGTTAGCTTCAAATATCAGATGGAGGACTCAGACTACCTTGTCCTTTCCAGCTGTAGTGACTCTATACTTCGTCAAGCCACTCAGTAAATGAGGATAGGAGAGAAATCTTAGCCAGCAAGCATTAGTCTGAGAAATAACTAATCACTGCCTTTAAAGTCACTTAGTTTTGTGGTGGTTTGTTAAAGGGTTGTGATTAATTGATACAGTCATCACAGCTAGGGGATTAGTAAGACAGGAGACATGCTTCACAGAAAGATGAAGGAAGAAAAGTGGATTCTTGGCATCATCATGTGAGTTGTTAAATCATGCATTACATAAACTTGGCCTTAATCCTAGATTTGGCTTTTCTGAGAGTAGATCCTCCTGTCAATATCTTTGCTCTCATTGCTTTTTGTTTTTTAAATTTTGTTTAGGATATATATATTTTTGGGGGGATGAGAGAGAATGGCCTAATTATATTTCTTTAAGGTTTAATAAATAAGATACCCTATTCACTACACTGTGAGGAGTTAATTGCTGATGCAGAAGTAATATTATCCTGTCTGGATCTATTTACCAACTAAAAGATAGAATCCAAAATCATTATGCTAAACATTACCCAAAATCTGAGTAGGGAGAATCACTAAGAGCTTAAGTAATACTTTTATTTAATTCACTTATAAAATAAATTAGACATTATGTGACTTCTAACTTCTCTCATATTCATAAGGACTTGATCCATTTTAATAAAATAAGAACACTCCCTAGATGCAAACAGGTTTTTTATTTTTTTCTTTCTGAACAATTGAAGTTCTGTTTAGAAAATCTTTGCCTCTATCTGTGTTTTGAAGTACTTTTTCTCCTTCCTTCCTCACACAATTTCAGGGTTTAAAATCTTACGTGAAGGCTTCTGATCCATTGGAATTGGGTCCATTGGAGTTCTTTGTTCACAGTGAGAGATAGAAATCTATTATTATGCCTCTTTTTTTATTATTTGAAATAAAGCATGGACAAACCTATGTCAGTGTGTGTGTGTGTGTGTGTGTGTGTGTGTGTATATATATATTATGTTATTTTCTTCATGATTCTTAGTTTCATTTAATCACAATCAGAGGAAATGCAAGATATTATTTCAGATTTTCTGTATTTGTAAAGACTTAGCTTGTATGAAGTGCCTCACTATATGATGTATTTTTAGAGAGTTGCATGAGCTGCTGAGTAGACTATTTGCTATTTAGATGGAATGTTCTGTAGATAGAGTTGGGTTCATTTTACCTACAATGTCATTAACTCTGGCAACTCTCTGCTTTTATCTGCATATATATGTTGGTGAGAGTAGAGTATAGAAATCAAACACTACCATTGTGTTGATGATAATCTGTGACTTTTCATACAGTGGTTCATAGTTTATAGAATGAAGTGTGCTGATATAAGGAGCATGTGTGATTTAAACTGTTATATCCTCTTGCTGGACTGTTTGCTATTCTCTCCTACTTTGACTACATTTGTTTTGAAGCCCTTTTTTGTTTTTGTTTTTTCAGATCAGCATCTGCTTGCTTTGGAATCTGTTTCCCATGCTTCAGTCCCAAGGTTGCTTTTGTTTTTGTACCTTCTTTCTTTCTTTACACTTTATTTTTCATTAAAATATAGCATAATTTCTTCTCTGCTTTTCCTCCAATCCCATGCAAACATATTCTACTCCCTACCATACTAGTGACCTCATTCTATTTAATTATTATTGTTATATACATGTAACTGTGAGACAGTGGGCTGTGAGGGGCAGCTGGGTGTCTGGTCAAGCACAGGCTTCGAACCCCAGACTTTAATGGGATGGAAATGTGTTCAGCTTTGCTTCTGGGCTCCTGGTTCCTTTCACTCATCTTCAGTCCTCCACAGCCCCTTCCACAGAGAGGCTATCAGTCACATAGGAATAGTGCCTCAGGCTCTCCCACAAGTAGATGAGGTATCTCCAAGCTCCCAGACCAAGCCAATAGGGGTTATCTGCTGCCAGATTCTAACTCACCCCAAAACTATATAAGAGCCCTATTCAGGAGAAGTAAAGGTGTGAGAGAATCATCCCATTGTCCGAGAGTACTGTCGCAAGAGCTGTAACACTTTGGAAGAGATCTGCTCTCCCAAAGAGCTTTCAGGACCCTCCCCTCCTTGCTAGTGAGCCGCAGTCTCACAAGCCCAGCCCTGACCAGCTCAGCGCAGAGGGACAAGTGCAGCACCTGGGAGTGACTAGGTGGCAACAGCTGAGACCAGAGTGGAGGAAGCAGCAGCAGAGGGATTCCCCTCCCTGCTCACACTCTATCCCCTTAGCCTGGAACCCTGCACCCGAACGTGCTGGAGATCTTCGTGGGACGCCCTTCGGAACAGGGACCCACATGTAACTATATGTGAACATATATAAATGCATATTATTATATAGGAATAAATATATGAATATAAATCTTGAAGCCACTTAGTGTTACTTGTATATATGTTTTTAGAGCTGATTATTTGGTATTAGATAAGGTACTCATTTCCGGGGTAGGATAAGTCTGTGTCTCTCAACAGTTGTTGATTCCTTATATTTCTTTATTTAGGGTTGAGGAGCTGTTATAATCATCTGAATTCTCTCACTGGAATTTTAGCTAAGTTACTCATTGCAATCCATTACTGGAAAATTCATATTTTTAAGGTATTCATAATACCTTGATTTATCATGTTGCTTGGGTTTCTGGATTAGACTTGTGTTTCTTGAGATAATACTTATAAAAGATAAGAATGGGAGGAAGCAGCATAAGCATTGATAAGGAGCAACATTAAATCACCTAAGAAAAAAAATGTAAGGAAGGACCTGCCCTAAGTTTCAAGTGTGGCTGATATATCACATGTGTGCCCGTAGGAGGCAGAAAGGAGAGAGTCTATGTCTATTCTCAGTGTTCTGACCTATGAACATCTGAGTGATAAATAGTCTAATACTCTCTGAGAAAAGCAATCTTGAGATGACCACCAGTCCTGTGCCATGCTCCCAGGACCAGGAACACGTCGGAGACAAGAAGAATCCCACCTGAGACTGAGGGCCCTGGGCAGTTGCTAGAGTAAGCCTGAGACAGAAAATCTTCCTCGCCAAGTGAGGAGCCCAAGATGATCACCAGACTGGCGCCATAAGCTCTCTGAAGAGAGACCTAGCCCAAGACAACAGCCAGTCAGCAAGTTGAGCATGTCTAGGATACAGACCATTGCCAGAGACTATCACTGCCTGATATTATAATGCACATGAGCAATATAACACTCCTGAGAGTACATCGAACACAACCGGAGACAATCAGAGACTCTGGGCTTCACTAAGAGGAGCAAGTAAGTGGTGGAGACATGAAAGAGAAAGAGAAACAGAATGGTATGGGCACAAAGAAGAAAGGCACAATTTGGGATTATAGGATAGTGAGGAACAGCCTCATGTGAGTATCCCGGGAAGACACATTGGAACATGGTAGGGTCCCTGCCTGGGGTGCCATCAGGGGCAATGTCTATGTCCATGGCTCTGTAAGAGCAGGGTTGGCTCTGTTACCACCAAAGACCAGGTAGTCGTCCCTGGTCTGGGCTCCTGGCCAAGGACATTTTGATGTCTGAAGGCTATTCAGAACTGGCCTCACATCTCACCTAGGCATCATGGGAGAGCTAGTTGTGGGGGCACGAGAGCAGGAAACCTGACCCACTCCTAGTCAGCTACAGTACTTGGGAGATCAACCCACACTTTGCAGGAGTTTTGGGTAAGCTATCCACAAGATCGGAGGCTGGGAGAGCTGGCCTTACCACTGGATGAAAGAGAGATACTCTCCTCCTTCCTCACCCTTTACCACTTGAGGCAGGCAGGAGACAAGGCATGGGATCATGAAAGGAGGAGACCTGGTCCTGCTCCTCATCAACTGCAGAGCACAGGAGAACAGGCCTTGCATCTTGCCTAACCAGCAGAATAGAGCTGACCCTGGATGTGGAGGTGATAGGTGAACCATCCCTGAGAGTATAGTGTAGAAGGCCTGGCAGTGCCTCTTATGTGCTGAGTAGTGGCATGATCAAGGGAGAGATGCCCACCTACCCTCCCTCATCCCTTATCATCTATGACAGGCAGGAGAGTAGGCCCTGGTATCATGAGAGCAGGAGAATTGGCCATGTCCCTCTCCAAGGATAACACTCAGCAGATCAGGCCCTGCACATTGCTTGGCCAGGAGAGTACAGCTGGCCCTTATAGCAGGGGTTGCTGGTGAGCCAGCCCTGAGGGCATGATAGTGAGAAAGCTGCAAGGTTGACTAGGTTAGTTACCTCTCAGGTATAGAGCCAGGGATTTGAATTGGCCCACCCCAACATCTACTCTATGGATTAACTGCTGGAGTGCACGGAAGGGACAGTCCTATCGATCCACAACAAGATTCCTTATGACATAGGGAAAGACAGGATACACAGAAGAGTCCCAGTAAGGTCCCAGTATTGATAGAGAAGCAGAAGACAGAGGCCTTGAACAAGACCAATGAGTCATTGGAGTGAAGATTTGCAAGCAGTGAAATGTGGACACAATGGTGTAATGTGGGACACACTGTGACACACTATAGCTTCCACAATGAGATATTTTCCCTGTTAGTGGAGAGTCTGCAAGGGTGGAGGGTGGATATGAGGGGAGGGGAGATGAGTGGGGTTGGGGTACATGTTGTGAAATTCACAAACTGCCAATAAAACAATTTTTAGAATGTTAGGAGTAAAAGTAGGTGGAACAGGAAATTGGAACATTACTATAATGAAAAGAGCTTAACGTTTGTTGAAGCTGTAAAGAAGAGATACAGTGAAGATGTCATGGAGGATGTGATGTGGAAGAGAGAGAAGCACATAGGTTTGCATAGGATGACTATTAGAGAGTCATGATAGAATTAGTCCAGAAACACAAAATTATGACCAAGCCCAATGAAGAAACACAAAACCTAAAGCACGATGATTAAAAAAGAAATCCTCTATATAGTAGTGAAGATTGAAAAATTAAAATAAGAGATAAAGTGAATAAAAAGTAGAAAAGTAACCCAGCTGTACGTGTCTCTTGACTGGGTTTGAGTACTTGTCTTCCCTGTGATGTCCCATGTAGAAGACTGAGCTTCTCCAGTTCAGAACTCTGAAATCAGATCTGTAGCTATGCAATGCCTCAGTGAGTTTGAAATAGATTTTCCTTTGGGTTGAGTTTTGATCAGTCACTTTTGTCATCTGTGTCTTGGTTTCTTCCGGCCCTCATCACTCAATGTTTGTTTTTCACTGAAATGTTCATCTTACCTGGGCTTTGGCTGCCTCTATAAGTGTCATACTTTGTGTCCTGCATATCATTTCAAACCGGGCAAGTTCCTATGTGGTGATTAAAGGTTCTGGAGCTACTGAGTTGGATCCAGCACAGTGTAGTCCATACACGTCTCTCTTCAGTTGGTTATCACACTGTAAGCACATTTAGCTTTTTATTTCATAAATGAAAATCATCATCTTATATCTGAAATCAGGGACTAATATTTCCTAAACATAATGAGTCAGTTTCAACCATTATCACACATAAAAAGGTGTGGGCAGGAAAAAAATGAGCAGAATTCTTAACTATATTAGAATGTTGATTTTTATATTTCAGAGGGAAAATTATAATGGTTTTTGGAAACCTCTCAGTCTCCTGCTTTCATTATTTAAATTAAATCTTGAAAATGAATTTTGGCTTTAAGTTAGTTCCTGTTTCTAAGTATTGGCTTCTAAAATATTTCATTTCTAAAAGTATCTCTAACTATGACAAAAAAAAAAGTAAGAGGAAAACAGAACAAAGGTATTTAAAAATAATGTTCTAACTATGGAAAAAACTAATGTAAAGTGAATAAATTAGTGCTGCAAAGACTTAAAGTTTAGTTGGCCTATAAGAAATAATCAGAATAGAGTGTGGTCTAAATCTCCTCTAGGCTTTTGATTAAAAGTTTCCAGGCATCCCAAGAGCCATTCATTTACTTATTAAATTTATCAAGTGGCTAAAATATGTCAGGCTCTGTGCTAAAATGAAAGAAAAATGGTAAATTTTCTCAGAGAGCTCATAATCTCAGAGAAGAGCCAAGTAATTTTTCAGACCACACAATAAAGTGACTTAGACTAATGAGACATGGTCATCAGCACTGGACAAAAGCACGAAAAACATTGGCCGTTCTCTTCAAAAGAAAGTGCCAGCCATACCATATGGAATTGCTACTTTGGCTAATGGGGAATGCCATTCATGAAGACCTAATTTTTTCTCTGCTTGGGAAAATCTGTTTAGGAAGTTGAAATACACCTGAGAGGGAGACACCAAGGCTAAACCCCAATTCCCAGTGCTCTTTTATCCACTCAGCTACCTATCAGGATTATATTTGTGGCCTCTTTTGAGTAGTTGAGACAAACTGTACGATCTCAGTTCATGAGTCATGAATAGGTCTATATTGTGTCCTACAATGTAACAATTTTAGCTGATGGAGCAAATTTCTATAAAGCATTTTTTTTTCTGGCATAACAACCAGTAAAATTCAACATGGCTCTGGGCAGGAAGAAGTGAAGATCTCCCCCTAGTGATCTACATGGTCACTGGTAAGTTAGTGTTATTTATTTCGAAAATAAATAAATTTTGAGTGAAATGAAGCGCTTTTGTACACTCTTGTAATTGTTTATGCATGTGATTTGAATGTGCATAAGCAGAAGAGTTAGGAACTGCTTGTTGCTTATATCTGTCCCTGTATTTTTTTCACTTAATTGCCATTACTAGCCATGTGTACTCTTTCTCAGTAGATATTCCTGATAAAACATGTTTCCATGTATGTATACTTTCAAGAACATGAACTATTTTTCTTTATTTTTTGAGTGTTTACTATAAAATTATTTACATGCTAAATTGTGAAGTTATTTGTGAGTTCTTTAATAGTTGAAGAACATGATGTACTAAATGTCTTAAAACCAGACATTTTCAAGACTTGGAGACTAGTTTTTAACTCATAGTAATATGAGCTTTAAGGGCTACATAGTAATAGAATTATATAATTATAATCCTACAAAATTGATAAAACGAGGACTATGAATATAGAAGACAAAGTAATCTGAAACAATTGAGTACAAGTGTGCCAGCTTTCTCTAGACATTTGGAGTTTGTAGAAAATGATTGCTTCTGTATTCTCAAATAAAATGTCCTGAGGGAGGTTTTCTGTGGAGGATGCTTTCATTTCTAATGTGACTTTTCATGGAAGAGATTCTCTCTTTTTTTTTTTCTGAAAGTTCTTGACACTGTTTATGTAAAAGTATTTTAGTAGTGTTATGAAATGCTATAGTTTCACATCATGCTATCAATGATTAATCCTTCCTGAGCTGTAGATAGCGTGTCTCTAAAGCCCTAAGGGCACAGCTGTAAGTTTCTGTAGTATTCATGTAAAATAGAACTTGACAACAAAATGTAGCTTAGGGAATAGCAACGATGACTATTCTAAAGGTCTCTTTAGGTAGAGAGATTAAAATAGGTATTTCATGTCTCATCAATACAGCTGTCATGTATAGAAAATTAAGTTTTAGAGAACTAGATTCACAACCTTGCTACTTCTTGGAAATATAGCTGTCATTTTAGGAAAAAGATTCATTCATTCAAGGTAAATGATGAGCTCTAAATATTAATGGATTTCTTATGAGATCACATTTATATATTTATCTATATTTTTACTACAGATCAGTTTAACTTGGAATAGTTAAGGCAGCAGATGCAAATGTAATCCAGAATAATTTTTTTCCATTGCTTTTCTCTTCTGAGAGTAGGCACTGATAAATTTGTATTTAAAGTTTAATCTTCATTATTCACTTACAAGGCGTTTTTGTTTTAATGATAGGTGGTTGTTCCAAAATTATTCCACTTTCCATTTTGGTTCTATTTTTCTTTAGTTATTTAGTGTTGTGAAACTCCAACCTAGTAAA